AGTTAATTAAATTTTTATAGAGAAATTAAAGTATTTGAATTCAAATAAGAAGTATTGAAACAAACTCAACTACTAACTGAACATTCAAATAATGTAACCACTTTAATGCTTATGAATAAATCTAATCACTTTAAATCTAGAAATGATGATAATTCAAACATAACATGGTCTAAGAATCAAAACAATTAATTGATTAACTAATAGAAATTAAATGGACATAATGATGATATATATTGTTTAATTTTGAATAATAATTAAGATTTGATCATTTCAAGTAGCAGAGATCATACTATTAAATTTTGGATGAAGTAGAATCAATAATGACTTTGTTAACTAACTATCAAAGATCATAATAATATGTTATGTGGATTAAGTTTGAATTAACAATAGAATAAAGTGATATCATGTGGACAAGATGAATAAATATTAATAATAGAACAATCATAATAGGATTCTAAATGGATTGTAATCTAAAAGATAAAGGTTGAGACACATGGTAAGAGAATATGCTTTATAAATGATAATGTATTCACTTTTTAACCAGATGGGATAGAATAAATGCATGTATGTTAAATGAATAATATACTAATAAATAGTATTTATAGACAAAAAATATACTTGTTAAAGGTGGAGATGATTAATGGTTCTTTCCTTAATAACATATAAAATCAAAATGCCTGTTTATAAATAGAAATGGCAAATATGTGAATTTGATAAGGACAAAGGAAAATGGAGAGTTTAAAACTGAATAATCGATTGAATTTAGACATATTCGTTTATATGGATGTATGAGTAATGATGGGTAGTATTTAATAATTTGGATAGAGATTCAGAATAAATTCAAATTAGAAAATACAATGAAATATGAATAACACATAAATATTAGATTTAATAATTTATGATTATCTGTTTAATTCTTCAATAAAGGTATTGTAATATTATGTTACAATAGTAAATCGCTTCTTTGATTAAGTGAATTTCAGAAATATATATTTTAGTAATTGTTATTATTATGAAAATTGTGTTTAATTTTCAAGAGTTTTGTTTTTTTAAACTTTTCCTAATTTAATGAAAAACTTAAATTGAAAAATAGTAATAATTACTAAGATAAGAAGGTTAAATCGAAACAAAAGTGATTGAAATAAAAAATAAGGCAAATTGTTAGGTGTATTTAGATTGACTCATTTAATTTTTAATCAATATATCCAAATTACAATTTGCAGAGAAATAGGTCAAAAGAATTATTAATATTCATTATAAAGGTATTCGGGCTTGATTATAAAAACTTCTTTAATTTTACAATAATTATTGTTATCACAGTATATATTTATTTTAACATTTGCTTATGAATAAAATTCAAGTATTTGAAAATGAATAAAAAATCATAATAACAAAAATAAGATTTCTGAGTTGAAATATGATATATCTTTTTTTTAATTAATAAAATCAAATATACAGAGGTACATAATTAAATGCAAATAATCAAAACAGAAATTCTCCTAATATAAATAATATAAATTGATTCTTGATCAACTCATTAAAATTGAAATAATATTTAAAAAATTGATCAGAATTAGGAATAAGGTATAATTTTGTCAATCTACTTTTTAGAATATTATAAATAACTCCTTTTTAGTGTTTTTAATATGAGTCAGGAATTAAAAAATATTTTCTTAGAATTAGTCGTTTGATTCAATATATCATAAGATAAATAAGTTTATTGTTGCAACTATTATGATCTTTTTCTAAAATGAATAATCTAAGACAAGCTTAAGGAGTTTTCATATTTATACCAAATAAGATTCTCTTTTTAAATTATTACAGTCATTTTAAGGTATATATCAGTGATTTTGCTGCAAAAAGAAATTTATGTAATAAATAAA